TGTTAATAATATTGTAATCAAACGACAGGCTATATGAAAGTTGTCATTAGCTCTTTAGTTGACTTCGGGCTTGAAAGAGGGGGGGGGGAACATCAATGTCGCAATATGTTGAGAAGAGGGGAGGGGGGGGGATAGAAGTGATTCAAAGATGTAATTCAGACAAACAGACACAAAGGTAGAAAAAGGTATATCAAGTGGCAAACTTGATGGTAGTTATCGTTGCCCCTTAAGTTGACTTCGGGCTTTACGGAGAAGAGAGGGTGGAGGGGGGGACATCAAAGTGAGAAAGAGTGGAGAGGGGGAGACAGAAGAGTGATCCACAGATGTAAAAAAGACAGACAGACAAAAAGACAGAGAAAAGGGTAATTTGAGTACTATGGAAGTGATTGAGTGTGACACACGATGGGGTCATGGCAGTTTGAGCATACGTTGCCCAGGGTGCACCTCGTGGATGTAAATTTATCGTGATAGATATATGATAGTATAAGTATGATAATATAAATATTTGAATATTTACAATATGATGAACATATAGGAGTGCAATTAAAAAATAAAAGAATCTGTTGGGAGCGTTATGAGACTTCTGTTTTATTTCATGAGACGAATTACGAATACAAATCTATATTATTGCACGATCTTCGTTCTCAGCAACTCAAAAGTCCTTGCAGTCTGATCTTGTTGAAGATTCCTACAACTGTCTCCTTGTTTCGGGGGTGTTCGATAGACTTACCTCCACGCGGTGCACCCTGGGCAACGTATACTCAGACGGCAAAAAAGTCTATTTACTGGCATTTGACTTCTCACTTCAAACTTCCATCACCCCACTGTATGTCATAGTCGACCACTTCCATAGTACTCACCTCACTTCTTTTTCTACCTTTTCTACCTACTTCTTTAAAACACTCATCTGTTGCCCCCTCCCTCTCGACTTTTTTCACTTTGATGTTCCTTCCCATCTGTGAAGCCTGAAGTCAACTAAAGGGCTAATGATAACCATCAAAAAGCCTGCCATTTGATATAAATAAATTCTCCTTGTTTCGTGTCACAAATTAAGTTGTGAAGCACTTGCAGGGGTAAAAAATAGTGTTTTATTTTGTTATTGACTATTTATGACAAAATTCCACACATTGAACCAATAACATGCCTCCCAAATTATGCAACATATGTTAGCTAACTACACGCTTGATTTATCGTTACATGATGGCTCTCCCTAGAGGCGATGGCGGGGGCGGGCGGGGGGAGGGGTGAGCATGAGGTCACCACAGGATTAAGCTCCTTTGTGAGGGAGGGATAATTAGGTCAGAGACATTTGACATGATCAAGATATTTATTTCAAATAACAGGGGGTGGGGAAGGAAATAGAAAAGTGTTTCAAATATGTAAAAAAGACGGACAGATAGGAATTTAAAAAAAGGTGAGGTGAATATTGTAGAAGGGGTCGAATATGACATACAATGGGGTGATGGTAGTTTGAAGTCAGAAGTCAACTGCCGGTTGATAGACTTTTGCCGTATGAGCATACGTTGCCCAGGTGCACCACGTGGAGGTAATTCTATCGCATGACCAAGGAAAGAATGTTCGAATCAGTCCCCAAACACCAGAAACGTTGTCTAATTTAATATTCACTGCTTTGAAATCAGATGAAGTATTGACCCAACTTTAAACTTGATGTTAACAATATTATTTCCGAAACTAAAGAAATAATCTGGTTCACCAAGTCAAGTGAACTAACTTGTAGCGGATTGCTACACTAGTAAAGCCTGACTGACTCAGAAATCTCTATGGCGGATTCTCCAACATCTAGCTAGACCCCCAGAACCAGCTAAGCTATAAGCCAGCTACTGAAGGAAACAGACATGTAGCACGGAGCACGTTTATTCAGTAGATAAACCACGCAAGAAGTGTGTACAGGAAGGAAACCCAGTCATACAACATGGCGGATTTGGTAAAACAAGTGAGGGCCCTTGAGCTGCTATTGGCTGCGTGCTCTTGTCTTCAATCCATACGCGAAGTTGTACGGTCGCACCTCAAGCCTATGTGTACGCGCATGCGATGACGTGTCCCACAAACTTACTATATTGAGTAACGTATTAACTGGATAGAAGACTTCGACAAATTTTGAATTAAAATTGGTTTAACAGGGTTTATTTAAAAAAGGGCATGAAGTTTGCCGTGTTGCGTCTACTCCGATAAAATAGGCGAGGTGGACTGTTTCCACATTTCTATACTACTCAGTCCAATCTCATCTTCAAATCAAGTTCTGTGGAGATTTTTCCCGTCTTGTATTGCAGTTCTAATGCTAACTAGAAATAATTTAAATTGGTTGGTAAAACATAAATTTCTGGTGTATTGTAAGGTTGTTATTGATTGGACGATGTTTTAATGAAGTTAAAGCAATTATCTTCTGTTCTCAATGTTAACTGAGAAAGCTGCAGACTTTTAAGCAATTCCCTTCATTTCCCTGTGTATTGAACGTTTCCAACACCAGGCGGCATTAGGGAGGAAAGATACATCTTCCAGTCGATCACGAAATCATCTTTTCACCAGCACAGTCTTGACGACAAAATTGTCTCTCCGAAGTTAATAGAAGTTTTGCCGATTTAGGGTATTAATTCGGGTAAATTTACGAATCCAAATGGAAACGATGGAATTTTGAAAACAACCGAAAGCCGATAGTGCCTTGTGATGGCAAGTTCTTGAAGGTAGGCATTACTGTTGGCCAATGGCATATGTGTGAAAGTGCAATTTCTTTATCAAAGGGACAGTTCAACATGATTCCTTCTTGAGTGCCGTTGATATTAATAGTATTATTTCCGAAACTTTTGTGGGTTTTTTAAACACAAGAACTAATCTGATTCACCAAGTCAAGTAAACTAACTTGCCATAATGAGTAATGTTCATTCATAATTGGTATTAACTGGTTAGTAGAATTCGACAAATTTTGAATTAAAATTGGTTTAACTGGGTTTATTTAAAAAGGCAAAAAGTATTGCCGTGTTCAGTATACTGCGACAAAATAGGCGAGGTGGACTTTTTCACATTTCCATACCTCTGTGTCCAATCTCATCTTCAAATCAAGTTCTGTGGAGAATTTTTTCTGTTTCGTTTTGCAATGGAATCGCATGCCAAGGAACACAATGCGTGCAAAGAGGAGGCTTCTGATCCGCAAGTCTTAGATTTGTCGATTAAGGTAGAAGAGGTGCGTCTTGAATGTTCTCGATGTAAAATGACATTTTCCTGCAGTAGATTGCTTCGCGAACATTTATTTTCAGTGCATAAATTGCCTGAACCTCATAGGTGTGATGAATGTGGAGCATATTTTGCCTCCAAATGGTCCTTGAATGGACACATCCGGAACTTGCACCCAAAGCAGCCAACTACTCGATGTGATCAAAGTGCCGAAATGAATCCAGACAAACCTTCTTTGCAGTCCCACAAGAGAGGTTCGGATGACAAAATGAAAAAGTACCAATGCCCAAGTTGCACAAAATCCTTTGCAAATAAGTCAAATTTAACTGCCCACGTTGATCAAATTCATTTACAGAAGAAGCATAAATGTGGCATATGTGGCAGACATTATACCAGCAAAGCATATTTGAAAAAGCATATCAAGGAAGTCCACTCAGATCGAAAAATATTTCATTGTCCACAATGCGAAAAGTTCTTTTCCAGTCGACGTACTAGGAATAAGCATTATCTAGCCGCACATGAAAAAAGTAACCGTATACCTGTACTTTTTGTTCTCGGCGATTTGCCACAAAAGCTGATTGCAATAACCATATGCGTATTGTACATAAGACCTCAAACTCGCCCAAATATGCCAGAATACAAGGTTTTAAATCAACAAATTCTTTTGATTTATTTCAACTTCTTTTCGTGTAAGACCATATTGGAAAAGATCACTGTATCTATGGCTGACTCGTTTTTAAACTTTGGTCTAGTGGTGAAAACCACCAGGGTTTGTCTAGATTGTCACAAATTAGCAAATACTGATCACTTCAGAGTCTACTCAGAGTCGAGACATTGACTACCATAACAGTTTTCTAGTGGATGTCGCTTTCCTAAGGTGGAATCCGGTTATTCATATTGCCCACCATTCTGCCCAGGAGATTAAAATGCGTTATTCGGCATTTAGACATTGAATGTCCTAAGAGATTCAAGCAGATTCCATTGACAGTTCCGAATGTTGCCATCTATTTCACCAACCTCCATTTGAACAATCCTTTGTGATGCTTAATTGAAGGGTAGTAACCAATGATGCAAATCACAATTTAGATAATTTTGTTGACATTTCAAATTAATATATATATATATATATATATATATGTATGTGTGTGTGTGTGTGTGTGTTTAATGTCTAATTGGCACGGCAATTTGTGATATTTACTGAATTTGAGTGTTCTTGATATAAGCTTTTGAAAGAACTGCAAAACAGCCACTTTTCTATAGTTCATGAAGCAATTAACAAACGAGTCTACCTCTTGGGCAAAAGTTCTAACTTACTGCCACTCATCCGCCTGTTTAACCAGTTTTATTTTACCTATCGGGGGGTATGCGATAGACTTACCTCCACGTGGTGCACCCTGGGCAACGTATACTCATACGGCAAAAAATTCCATTAACCGGCAGTTGACTTCTGACTTCAAATTACCGTGACCCCACTGTATGTTATATTCGACCACTTCTACAGTACTTATCTTAACTTTTTTTCTGCCTTTTTGTCTGTCTGTATGTCTCTATTACATCTGCGAGTCATTATTCTGTCCCCCCTCTCGAATTTTTGTCACTTTGATGTTCCTCCCCCTCTCTGTGAAGCCCGAAGTCAGCTAAAGGGCCAATGAAAACCATCAAAACGCCTGCCATTTGAAACAACACATTTTACCTATCGGCTAAAGAGGAATCCAACGTTTATTTGGGAATTGTATTGTGATAGGTATCCACGCCGTAAGGTTAGACATGCTCCACATGGCCGCTTCGTTTCTGATTGGCTAATTGTTGTGGGCCCATGCGATCATGTGTTAGACGATGTCGTGTCGCACAAAGGGATCCCCATTAAACGGAGCCATAAATGTAGAAACTTTTGAGAACCTACTTCAAAGTATATTTGAATAATTACTTATGCTAATTGTTAAATACCATTTGAGGATATCTGAATTCAAAATTCTGCAATTACATCGACAAAACTTGAAAATTGGAAGTAATACAAACTTTGGTTTGCCCCATAAGTCTGATGTGACAATGCCTCGATTCTAGATAGGGTTACCTGTTAATCTCTTCAACATCTCATTCACTGAGTCTAGTATATTGAGGTGTGATTTCTTAAAGATGGACATTTTCTCTTGTCTTTTCTAGGTCCTTTGCACATACAGTTCTCATTACTCCCATATTATCACAAAATTGTATACCAAATTAATTCTTCGCCACATGAGTAGTTTCTCCACGTCTGCACTTCAACTTTTTTCATTGTCTGATTCAACTGAACATTTATTTCAATTATATTCGAACCTTCAAGTTTTATAATTTCAAAATAAATCGTCATTCAAGTGATAAACTCGTAAAAGTCTCTTGAAACTTCTTCACTTTTCCTTATGTTAGTTGGAACGTTTATTTATTTATATCAAATGGGAGGCGTTTTGATGGTTATCATTAGCCCTTTAGTTAACTACAGGCTTCACAGAAGGGAAGGAACATCAAAGTGAAAAAATTCGAAAGGGGGTGGAGCAGAAGAGTGTCTCAAAGAAGAAGGTAGAAAAAAGGTGAGGTGAATACTATGCAAGTAGTCGAATATGACATACAGTGGGGTCATGGCAGTTTGAAGTCAAAAGTCAACAGCCAGTTAATAGACTTTTGCCGTATGAGTATACGTTGCCCAGGGTTCACCACATGGAGGTAAGTCTATCGCACACCCCAATGTTTGGAACGTACAAATCGTGCAAATACAGAATTGATATTGAGCAGAAATGCATCGCAGTCCTATGGAAAGATGGCGTTTTCAGGTGATTTAATAAAGCAGTAACTTTAAGTCAGAAAAATCCTCATTGAACATATACGCGCTCAAAGTATCTGGAGAGGTGAGACCAAGGTATTCCAAATCTTTGCCAGACCAGTCGGCTTTAAATTAAAATCGTCAAAAAATTATGAAGTTGAAACAGAATAAATGTGGAATAAATCACCAATATACAGTTCATTTCCACAAAAATACAGAAATAGAGGAATTTTTAAAAATTGAAAGCAGACGCTTACATTTCCATCTTGATTCCGTCCACTTTAAGACAAGAAATTTCCCCACTTTCACAAATCGGAATGCAAAACAAACTTCATCACTATTTGCTTGAAGTCCAAATAGTGACATTGTTTTCATTATCCGTGTTACGCTAAGGCGTTGCCTCAATTGATATATGCTTATGGGTCGTTTGAGGAGCTTAAACAGTGAGAAGAATAATTTGGCAATAAGTTTAACGGAGCTGTTTTATGTTCAAATACCTTTTCTCTCATATTTCATGTATAAATTTATTCCATGGAAGCCAATTTTATGGGTCATAGAATGATTTCAAGAAATATTTACATCCTGGTCAGGTAGCTCAAACGACTTGCCCTTTGTGGGACACGTCATCGCCTCACAAGTGATTGCATTCACGCAAGACCAATAGCCAATCAGAAGCCCTTGGTTTGTTTAAGCGAATCCGCCATGTTGATTATGACTAAACTTATGACGTTTGCATTTTATCCCTAATACACTTCCTGAATAAAAGTGATTCGTGCAATACATCTGTTTCCTCTATGGCTGGGCTGTAGCTTAAGTGGTTCCGGGAGTCTACCTAGGTATTGGTGAATCTGCCGCATTAATTTTTGAGTCAGTCAAGGCTCTACTTGTGTAGCAATCCGTCACAAGTTTTATTGGTGATGACACTAACTCAGGTGAATGTGATTGAAGAAAGCAATATCTTTCTGCAATTCCCTTTACCTAAATTATTCATTGATGATATTTTTAACAATGCAAGAATATTCTTTTGATGATATTATTGCAATCGCTTTAGCAAAGAGATTTCGCATCCAATATATATCTCAGATAGAAATATGTGCCAAGTGATCTGCTCTCAATAGACATGAAATGTTTATTGGCAGATTGAGCGTTTTCATAAAAATCACGCACATTTATTAAGACCTAAAGTAGGCGATTTCCTGAAACATGAGGCTAAATAGTTGTCATGTTATGCGTAAAGAGTGTCTGAGTTGGACTGGGTTACGCCGTGGGGGAGGGGTGTGGGTTAATCCCTATTTATTGACAAGGAAGAAGTAAATCAATGGGCCCTCTAAATTTTATTATTTTAATCTTGCGATAATTACGAAATATGAAATATAAAAGGATTGCTTTATTCCATGGATTTAAGAGAGTCATCTCTCCTTAGCAGGTGTCTCGAAATTGAACCCAAAATAATCTATCGGTTACAAAGAGAGACAGAGAGAGAGAGAGGCTGATACTGCACTAGAAGTAGTCTCTCGTCACTCCGGTCAAACGAAGCAACGAACTTGATCGTTTGATTTGCTGTCATCTTGCCTACAATTCTCACTCAACCATGTGATTGTCTTCACTCATTTGAGGTCTCTAACCTTTTATTTATTTGTAAGTACAAGCACTTAAATAATGTATCTACCGTTCCTTGTAGATCTATGTCCATCTTCGCATTAACATTTCCAAGTCACCTAAACTCCTTCTAGTCGATTAAAATTGGAGCATATTGATGTTTTCAACGGGAAAAATGTCTATTGGTGCTATTAGAATAGAGAAATAGGATTT